AGGGATGTCCAACCCGCGGCCCGCGGGCCGCATGCGGCCCAAGGCAAGTTTTAATGCGGCCCAATAAACGTGTAAACAAAACCGAAAAATGAAAAAAAAATTTTTATTTATTTAATTCAAGGCATAAACTCAAAAAAGAAGTTTCACAAACCCGTAAACCTTTATACATATTTTATTTTTGAGTGGAAAGGAAATATTTTCAAATACTTGGAGACGTGTGAATGAGGAAGGATTACTAAATAAAGATGGAGTTGTGACTCAAAGGATTATAGACCCAAATTTAAGGAAAGGAGGGAAAGGAGAGAAAGGACGAAAGATAAAAAGTAGTGAGAAAGGTTAAATAGATCTTCTGTTATGTAAATATAAATCCTTAATTTTCCAACTTTCCTCACTTCTTTATCTTTTGTCCTTTCTCTCTTTTTCCCGCATTTGGCTCTATAATCCTTTAAGTCACAACTCCAGCTTTATTTAATATTCTTCCAGCATTGCAAGATTTGGCTACATTGCGCCAAATATGGCTGCATATTCTTTTTATAAATATATTAGTTGAATAAAAATACACTTTAAAATGGTGTTTCGTCGCTTTTTATTAATTAGAGACGCAAATAAAACAAATATTTGTGTTTTTCAAATAAATTTTCGTTTGTCTTTTTTATAATAAATGAATTTATCTATTTCTAATTCTCCATTTATCAGTACACATTTATTCTCCCAGTTCATTGATTGAAAAACACTTTCTAATACATTTGTAAAAAGTTTTGGGGAGATAGTATCACTTTTTAATATCGTTGGTATCTTGAAGCAAGCGAACTTGAAGCAAGCCAGAGAAACCAAAAGGTTGGACACCCCTGCTCTACTCTATATATATTTATTGTTCGCTGTCCACTATGTCATAGATTTAATTATGGCTATTTTTGCCACACAATTGATTCAGCAACAGAGTGCTGTATCGTCCACTTTGATTTTGACTATTACGAATAAACCTAATCAATAATGGAATCGGTCACTATTGCTCAAAGCTGAAAATAACACCTCAACTCGAATTAAATTTGAAGAGTTATGGGTGTAGAATTAGATTCGAACCGTAATTTTTTACGGCATAACATAGACCTAATTAATGCTTTATCAATTTTTGTTAAGTAAACATTTAGTTATTAGCGAGGTTGAGGCCGAAGTTTTAAACGCGAAAACGTGTACGTCGGGCGTTCAGCGCCGCTTTCCTGTAAGCCTAGTAGTTTGACAATGGTGTTTGGAATGTCGAGCATAATTCCACTGACTATCCAAACACCATTGTCAAACTTCTAGGCTTACAGGAAAGCGGCGCTGAACGTCCGACGTACACGTTTTCGCGTTTAAAACTTCGGCCTCAACCTCGCTATTATTTGTACTCTTCGCTGTTTTGAAAATAACTTATTTTTTCTTTCAGATGACTAATGCTCTCTATAATACTTTCAACACTTTAACAGGAATTCGCGAAATTTCCCACGGTTCTCAAATAAGTTGCAATGACACTTTAAATAAATATCTAAAAATAGATCGACTGAGAATTGATTCTTAGTTATAGTGTTAATATTAAAATAGTAAAAAACTTCAACGTAGGAAGAATATATCTGAATAAATTAATTGTTTAATTCACGTTATAAAATCAATAAATGATTCAGATGCTTCAGATTCAAGTAATAATAATTGAGCACAATTATATATTTTGGTCATTATATGTGGCTGACAATAATATACTATATTAAAACAAATATATTTCATAATAAATATAATGTGAATTTAGGAGTGTTTAAAGAAATNATAAAAAATTAATAAAAATACTGAATAAATAATGAAAAAAATTACCGCTTGTACAGAAAATCTGGAAAAACTAGCTATTTCCTTTTCCTTGCTAACAATAAAAAATACTTCTTATAAACAAAAGAATACTTTTTCAAACAACACGTGGGGATATTGTTGAGAGATAATAATAATAACGGTAACACACTCCACTATCAAAAGTCCGTAGCATAATCACAAATCACGCATAACGGTATCCCAACTACCATTGACTGACTGCGCAACATTTATTGATTTTTTTATACTCTTTCCGCCCTGTGGGCACTAAAAGGGCCTCTTATAGCAGGCCCATTATGGGTTCGGCCAGGCCCACAATGGGGCGACCGGGTGGTGAGAGACGGATATGTCGGGCCCCCCGAAAAATTCCTGGGATTCCATGACCTGCCCGGATTCGATCCCGGCTCCCCCAGAGCGGTAGGCTGCCACCTTGACCGCTCGGCCATCCGGCCGCATATTTAGGATTTAATTATTTCAGTCGAAGCGGTAGGCTGCCACCTTGACCGCTCGGCCATCCGGCCGTCTACATTTATTGATCTGTTTCATTGTACGATCGGCAGCATAAGTTTTTATTTCTATTTTTGCATTTTGAAATGTATAATATAGTTTGTGATTGTTGCAAGGAACATTTTTTCCTTAATAATTTTTTAATACTATTAATTTGTGATACATAATATATTATTATTTCTGCCATAATAACTAACTTTTTTCTGTACCCCTAAACAACCTATCGCGTACCCCCAGGGGTACGCGCACCCCGGAATCGCTGTATTAGAACAAAACACAGTAACAGTTTTAAGGGCTAAAGTCTGAAAACAGTGCCAACGACACCTGGTTAATAGGAAAGCTGCGACAAAAAAAGAAAAAAAATTGTAATGTCAGTTTACATTAATTAAAGCAATTCTGAAAACAAATTGAAAATTTCAATATTTTAACGTCCGAGGGAAAATGTCAGACAACTGGCATGAATAAAAATATCGAATAAAAAAATATACTACTTGAGTAAAACACAAAATATCGAATAACGGAGTTTACACTTAAAAATTGTGAAATTTTGTACAGAGCATTTCCAAAGCTGTATTAGAGCAAAATCGTGTTATATGAATGATAACTGTACTTCTTTTACAATATGTATTTCGGCCAAATTACTAGTTTGGCCATTTTTAGTTGTACTATAAAAATTATAGTACATAAAAGTTACAATTTATAAATTAATCTAAGAGGAGTTTTTACAATTTTTTAAAAAATAATTACTTACAATCAAACATATAAAAAATTTTTATTGTCTTCTTAATTTTTTTCATGAATAATGTTTCCAGTTCTTTAATTTACTAGGTTACCTTAAAATAGAATATCTTACATTCGAATTTTAGTTACATTTTTCAAAATATATAAATTTTCTCAAATATTACAAAGTTAATTGTGAATATTTATTATAAATTTTAAATTCAAACTACCGTATAATAAATATAATGAAACACATTTCGTCTTGTTAAGCGGATCTTATCTCTGTGATTGTTACAGATCAAAGGGAAAAAATAAAAAATATATTTCGAATTATGAGTGGAATATAAACTATTTGAATTGTTCTTATAGAATACGTTAACTTTTATACGCCTTTCTCAAATAACTTTTATGTAATTACTCACATTATTTATATATATATCGTAAATAAAATGCATATAAATGTGTACTTTTTTTTCTATAACATTTGAAGATTTATGGAAATTTCCAAGAGGTGCGAAAGTTCAATTCAAATTCATTACGTACCATATTCAAACTCAAGGTTTGTACTTTTGTCGTTGAAATTAATAATTAAATTCATCTATCAAAAAATACTTATAATTTTGTCTTTCATTTAGCTAATATGCTTCATGAAGGTCTTTCGTGAAAATGCTATAGGATTCAACTGTGGAGATTTCTTTATTGTATCTAGACATTTTCCTATTCAGGTAACAATTATTTATTTATCTGTATAATTGTAGTGTTACTAAGAATATCGTGGAAAACTATTATAATAATACTACATTGTTTTCGTTATAACGCCTACCTGTGTACGAGTGCATATAACCGCTAGACCAGTGGTTCTAACCTTTCTGAGGCCGCGGAACACCATTCATACACTTTTTATTACACGGAGCATTAGCATTAAAACACTCAAAAAAATTAATAAGCAATTCCATATTTACTATTCTCAGAAAATAATGAAGCAATAAACGAATAAACTTTAATATATTGAATAAAAGAGAAACACGAAATATCTACGAATATAGCAATGAAATAAATTTCAATTAAAACTTTAAGTTTTTTCATACGCGGAACACTCGAGGTAGGTTTGCGAAACACCTGAAACACAGGTTAAGAACCATTGCGCTAGACACTGGTTCTGGATTCTGCAAATACGATCGTAAATTAGCGTTTGGCCAAAGTGCCGGCCTGTTAAGTTTTTCCTGGATTTTCTTTGCGTGTCTAACATCTAAATATGGGACGGTTTTGTATAAAAATCCTTCCGAGAGTCATCCCACTTGAAACGTCGCCCAAGTGTGGCGTCGCCATATCCAATTATTTCACATAAACACAAAGTTTTCTAAATTACACGTAGGAAATAAATATTAATTAAGCACATTATATTAATGCTTATTCTATTGAAAACATGCAATTTAACAAAACATTAGCAATAATTTAAGACTTCTTGTTCGCTTATTTATTGAAATTCTATTGCGCATTACGACTTTAAAGATGTACTATAAGCGTGCGTTTTAATTTATTAAATTGAATAAATTTGAAATAAAACGGCTAAAGAACATTATGTTTTTTTTTAATGTACTGAAGTGCATTTCATCAAACAAACACTAAATATAATAAACTCATTTTAGTAAAACATTCTTTATCCATGAATAGAAACAGTGTGGTTCCAACAAGAAGTTTTAAACAGAAGCATATTTAATTAAATAAAAGACGAATTTTACAAGTCTCGTGCTCGTATGGTGCAATTGCAATGCAGTTATCAGACATTTTAATAGAAATTAAAGAACGTGGTTCTATCAAAACGAGAAAAAACAATCGTTTTTTCGAATTGTTAATTTTACTAAAACTATTCAAATATTTGAATATACTTGAGATTGCCTTTTGTTCAAACGATGATGTTCGACTGTAGAATAAGAAGAATATGAATTCTGCTTTCACAGATATTGATGAACTAATTTTGAAACCTGTATTGTCGTTGATGGAGTGGCTCTGGGAGACAGGATAGAATCAAAACGATGCATGGTTCCATCCCGGATGTATCTGGCCCTTCCCGCCACTAAGCAGCCTTCATTGATAACGTGGCCGAATCCATCATAAATATGAAAAATAGGCCACACGCTGAAGGTTGGCTTCTACACTATCAGAAAACGAAAACAGAAAGCGAAATAGAAAACTCCAGTAAGACAAATTTTAATGAAATCGAACGTTTTCGACCTTACCCAAAGTCTGCTTCAGGTTTTTAACCAACAAAATTCCAAAATAGAATGCGTAGATCAAACATATTTGAAAAATTATTTTAAAAAATTTGGAACACATATAACCAAACGTATATAAAACAATTTGAACGGTAGACACTGCAAAAAAATCATAAAAAAATATAACTATCCCATATATAATAATTTTTTAAAATGTAAAGAACGGCTCAGATAAATTAATATATTCTAGCGTTGCTCGGTTTTACATAAATGTATCTCCATGCATAGGATACAGTATTGTCTTTAAAGTTAATACATTTGTCTGTCCTTGGAAATTTACAAGGCTGGCCTTGTAAATTTCCAAGGCTTCCGGATTCCGAATATGATCAATTTGAAAGGACTGCCTAATTAACTTGGCATTATGGAGGTCAGTATGCACGTTGGGATCAGTGGTGTACTGTACATGGACAGGGAGGCGGTATACTTTTTGTTTGCAATGTCATACCAATGTACAGCAGGGAAGGCAAGGAAGGAGTTGAAGGTTGGTGGTCCCTCTTGGGCTACACCAGAACCAGAGCCAGAGTCAGAGTCCGAGCATTTTTCTCAGGTTCGACTTAAGAGATCCGAAGGTCTAGTAGCTACTGAGTATCAGACCAGACCTATGATTAAGACATAGTCTATTTGTACTCTGTAGTGCCATCTGGCAGAGCAGAGACATATTACTTAGAGTTTGTTATATGAGGCCTGGTTGCTGTTGGAAGTCCCCTGGATGTTGGAGATGTTGCGCGCGGCTAGTTGGTTGGAATAGGCGCGGGATAAATTACGTAGCAGGTCTCTTCTATACCCATGTTTTACCGCTATATCCTCGATACGTTTCAGCTCTACAAAAGCGTCATCCCAATTAGTTTGGAGAGTATAGGCCCGTCTAATTAGAACATGGATGCTGCGACCTTATATGAAAAAGGATCGGCAGAGTTTGCTGGAATGAATAATGGTAAATAGCATGGTTTGTAATAAACGTCCGTTTCTACACGGCCCCGTTGAGGCGAATGCTGATATCCAAGAAATGATCGCTAATGTTACTTCTCTGATCTAGCTTAATTAAGGGTTAGACCAGCGCCCAAAGAGGCTTCCTCACAGGGGCGCCACGAAATGTTATAAAATTTTTATAATTTTATTTAATTTAAAAAATATTGGCTATTTCGTTATTTCGCAAATTGTACTTGTTAGAATTTGACATATGGCGCCTTGGGAAAATCTGGATTTAGCAAGGGCGCCGAGAATCAAAAAAGTTTGGGAACCACTGGATTAGACCATAAGGGTTGTTGTTCATGCAGTTTAAAAACTCGTTAACGTTCGACTCAGTCTTCCAGAGAATAAACAGGTCATCCACGTAGCTTCTGTAAACAACAATGTTCGATAAGAACCCAGGTATGACTCCATCCAACTGCCAGCTCTCACAGGCCACCGGAGAGGAGGCTGCCCATGGGTACGCCCCGTTATTGTAAATATGTAAATATGTGCTGTTATTAAATTGGAAGACTGAGGAATAACACATAAGGAGTGCGAGTTCCAATATCTCTTTACGTTCCGCATGTGCATCGAAGCCGCTTAGTAAAAGAACTCTAAGAGCACAGAAGCACGGTTGTAGCCTTACCGAAGGGTATAGGGAAAGAAATCAAATACAGTAATATGCGCCACATCAGCTACCTCTATCTGCCATAAGATATCAGTCAGATCGGTGGAGTTCTTGACAGTTTAAAGGTTCTTGATTGTGTGTGATTCGTTCAAATAATTCGGTAAGAAGATAGTTTAAGCAAGTAGAAAAATAAATAGATTTTGGTCCCGCTTCATTTTCTGCTTATTTCTATTTCCAAGATACCAGAATATCACAAGCAGAATAAGTCAATTATAGAATGTAATCTCCAAGAATGATATACAGTATTTATATTCTTTTCTGGCCTCTTCTAAAAATAATTCTAATTTTACGCTTCGTCTCGCTCTTTTTAAATAATCTGTCATTATCCTTCGATATAACAAGATGTCGCTACAACACTAAAAACATGTTACATAAATTAAAAGACAATATATAAGAAAATGTAATTCACAAATTAAATGAAATTGAGGGACGTGACAAGAGAAAAGTTATGTAGATATGAAATTGAACACACTTTTAAATCATAAATAATGACATCAATATTATTACTTTGATGTCATGTTACTTTTTTTTAAATAAATGTCAATACTTTCATACATAAATATTAATCACTTCGTGAATATATTTCAAAACATGTAAAAACATTGTTTTTTTAATGAACTATTACATATATATTAATTGCTACACATATATTTGATAATATTCAAAATGCTAATTCATTTCATAGCATTCATTGTCTATCTTAGTGAGCTTGAACAATGCTAATGCAAAGCGAATATTATATCGTTGGTTTAACTGAAATGACACATCTATATCTATATCTATATCTATATCTATATATCGTCATCTATATATAGATATATATAGATATATCTATATATATCTATATATAGATGACGATATATAGATATAGATATAGATATAGATATAGATGTGTCATTTCAGTTAAACCAACGATATAATATTCGCTTTGCATTAGCATTGTTCAAGCTCACTAAGATAGACAATGAATGCTATGAAATGAATTAGCATTTTGAATATTATCAAATATATGTGTAGCAATTAATATATATGTAATAGTTCATTAAAAAAACAATGTTTTTACATGTTTTGAAATATATTCACGAAGTGATTAATATTTATGTATGAAAGTATTGACATTTATTTAAAAAAAAGTAACATGACATCAAAGTAATAATATTGATGTCATTATTTATGATTTAAAAGTGTGTTCAATTTCATATCTACATAACTTTTCTCTTGTCACGTCCCTCAATTTCATTTAATTTGTGAATTACATTTTCTTATATATTGTCTTTTAATTTATGTAACATGTTTTTAGTGTTGTAGCGACATCTTGTTATATCGAAGGATAATGACAGATTATTTAAAAAGAGCGAGACGAAGCGTAAAATTAGAATTATTTTTAGAAGAGGCCAGAAAAGAATATAAATACTGTATATCATTCTTGGAGATTACATTCTATAATTGACTTATTCTGCTTGTGATATTCTGGTATCTTGGAAATAGAAATAAGCAGAAAATGAAGCGGGACCAAAATCTATTTATTTTTCTACTTGCTTAAACTATCTTCTTACCGAATTATTTGAACGAATCACACACAATCAAGAACCTTTAAACTGTCAAGAACTCCACCGATCTGACTGATATCTTATGGCAGATAGAGGTAGCTGATGTGGCGCATATTACTGTATTTGATTTCTTTCCCTATACCCTTCGGTAAGGCTACAACCGTGCTTCTGTGCTCTTAGAGTTCTTTTACTAAGCGGCTTCGATGCACATGCGGAACGTAAACAGATATTGGAACTCGCACTCCTTATGTGTTATTCCTCAGTCTTCCAATTTAATAACAGCACATATTTACATATTTACAATAACGGGGCGTACCCATGGGCAGCCTCCTCTCCGGTGGCCTGTGAGAGCTGGCAGTTGGATGGAGTCATACCTGGGTTCTTATCGAACATTGTTGTTTACAGAAGCTACGTGGATGACCTGTTTATTCTCTGGAAGACTGAGTCGAACGTTAACGAGTTTTTAAACTGCATGAACAACAACCCTTATGGTCTAATCCAGTGGTTCCCAAACTTTTTTGATTCTCGGCGCCCTTGCTAAATCCAGATTTTCCCAAGGCGCCATATGTCAAATTCTAACAAGTACAATTTGCGAAATAACGAAATAGCCAATATTTTTTAAATTAAATAAAATTATAAAAATTTTATAACATTTCGTGGCGCCCCTGTGAGGAAGCCTCTTTGGGCGCTGGTCTAACCCTTAATTAAGCTAGATCAGAGAAGTAACATTAGCGATCATTTCTTGGATATCAGCATTCGCCTCAACGGGGCCGTGTAGAAACGGACGTTTATTACAAACCATGCTATTTACCATTATTCATTCCAGCAAACTCTGCCGATCCTTTTTCATATAAGGTCGCAGCATCCATGTTCTAATTAGACGGGCCTATACTCTCCAAACTAATTGGGATGACGCTTTTGTAGAGCTGAAACGTATCGAGGATATAGCGGTAAAACATGGGTATAGAAGAGACCTGCTACGTAATTTATCCCGCGCCTATTCCAACCAACTAGCCGCGCGCAACATCTCCAACATCCAGGGGACTTCCAACAGCAACCAGGCCTCATATAACAAACTCTAAGTAATATGTCTCTGCTCTGCCAGATGGCACTACAGAGTACAAATAGACTATGTCTTAATCATAGGTCTGGTCTGATACTCAGTAGCTACTAGACCTTCGGATCTCTTAAGTCGAACCTGAGAAAAATGCTCGGACTCTGACTCTGGCTCTGGTTCTGGTGTAGCCCAAGAGGGACCACCAACCTTCAACTCCTTCCTTGCCTTCCCTGCTGTACATTGGTATGACATTGCAAACAAAAAGTATACCGCCTCCCTGTCCATGTACAGTACACCACTGATCCCAACGTGCATACTGACCTCCATAATGCCAAGNTTTTGTGCGAGAGCTGACACGTCATCGACTCTTGTTGACGATGACGGTGCATTCTTCACACTTAACTGTAAACTTCCTCAGTTCGTTGTTACAAACTCGGTGAAATTCGATATAGTTTAAATTCCTCGGGTTTTTTCCGAAGTTAATTAACCGAAAATTTAGATGTTTAAGCGGCCCGTACAAATCCAAAAAAATCCGCGCTTCACAAGTGTGTCACCAGTAGGATAAGACTCGTGATGATTTTACTCGTTATTAGCATTTATAAATTTTTAATAAAAGTCATTCCCCGCCTAAAAATTAAGCTTTCTGACATTTTACAATATATATATAACATTTTTAAAATAAAATATTATAACAGATGGTGTTACCAATATTTTAAATGTTGCGTGAAAAGTTGAGCAATTAGCGAGGTTGAGATAGAAGTTTAAAACGCGAAAACGTAGTAGTTTGACAATGGTGTTTGGAATGTCGAGCATAATTCCACTGACTATCCAAACACCATTGTCAAACTTCTAGGCTTACAGGAAAGCGGCGCTGAACGTCCGACGTACACGTTTTCGCGTTTAAAACTTCGGCCTCAACCTCGCTATTATTTGTACTCTTCGCTGTTTTGAAAATAACTTATTTTTTCTTTCAGATGACTAATGCTCTCTATAATACTTTCAACACTTTAACAGGAATTCGAGAAATTTCCCACGGTTCTCAAATAAGTTGCAATGACACTTTAAATAAATATCTAAAAATAGATCGACTGAGAATTGATTCTTAGTTATAGTGTTAATATTAAAATAGTAAAAAACTTCAACGTAGGAAGAATATATCTGAATAAATTAATTGTTTAATTCACGTTATAAAATCAATAAATGATTCAGATGCTTCAGATTCAAGTAATAATAATTGAGCACAATTATATATTTTGGTCATTATATGTGGCTGACAATAATATACTATATTAAAACAAATATATTTCATAATAAATATAATGTGAATTTAGGAGTGTTTAAAGAAATTTTGTGCTTGTTATATAATATTTTTCAAAGATTTCTTTATACTAATATTGTATCATTAGATGGTTCGTACTTTTTTGTAAAAATAAATTTATTAATATGATATTTTGTGGAATATCTTGAATGGTTTCCGGCTATGATAAGCTTTGTAAACAATGTTTTAAAATTAAAAAGCAAATTTATCAATTTTTTCAGTTTAGTGGTTGTGTGGGACATCAAGAGAGACTTTCTCTAATAAATTTATCTTCCGGTACATTAATTAAACTTTTTAACGCTTTTTAATTTGCGTGAAAAACGAACAATTATTTATTGTGAAATCGACACAATGCCGGTCTGCAAGTTTTAATAATATTTTTTGATTTATTTAGTTTAAAACATATACTCTCCACCTCAAATTATTAATGGCTTGCCCTGTACATCATACTTTTCATTTAACAATAGAGTCGTGCCGGTCATCTAGCTAACACCTTTAGCGGAGAAATTTTTGAATTGAAATAATGTGACTTCCGGTTTGCATTAGATATTCGTATATAGTAATCGGGCCTCCTACCCCTAAGGTTTCCACATTAGCTCCCTCCTTTTTTTTCAAATTGCTGACCAATAATGTAACTTTTCTTGTATAAGAAATGTATGCGTAAATATCACTTAATAAGTTTAAGAAAAGAATTTTAAAGTAAATGGGTAATGGTATTCATTTATTATTTAAATCCGATGACATAACTTGTGCTGCGGTTGTGACATCAAGTATGCACCGAATCGTTTAGGTTGAGAAAATTTTAAAAAGTGCGTTATTTATGTTTCTACTTTAGTGCGTTCCCTATAGTGTTACTCCAAAGAATATGTAGTGAAAACCTAGTGTGATATTAGTTTGAAAAATGGCATCAATCAGCACAGTGAATATTCTGCTTCCGAATGATATAACTTGCACTTCGAGTAAGTCCTCACCTACATTTATTGCTAAAGACAGATAAACTATTGTAATAAATTAAAAGCGTGTGATTGAACACCACATTTTTTAAAAATTAAATATAAAACTTGCATGAGTATAAAATAACCGTCGGTTATTTAAAAATCTTTAAAATTTATGTAGGAATTCTTTTTTCGTCTTCTCCTACTTAATTAATTAACGTCACTCGTACTATTTAGTCTGATACAATACTAACGTTTAATTATATCACTAGACATTACAAATGGCAACATATAACACTAAACATCAGACTTGAATCGTTTCCGAAATTCTTTGTTAAAAAAAAAAAAAAAAAGCAGAAGTCCAGTCTGGACTCGTCTTTTATCGTTTTCGCGCCTTTTCTTTTTTTAACTCTCGTCTCGTCTCTTTCTCGTCTTCTATCGCGAAATCGCGCTTCGTCTCGCTCTCGTTTTACCGGAGGATGGCGTTCCGCTCTCGACAGCTCGGCCATCCTGCAGAATCACTCCGTCCTCGGAGAGATTACTGGAAAACTAAAATAAAACACAAACATACACACACGCGCGCACACACACACGCGCACACACACACACACACAAAAAGATAAGATATAAAATAGTTTTATGAAGAGGCACGTGAATTTAGAATCGGTGGATTTCTAGCAAGTGAAATGTGAAAATGTCAGGCACAGAGTTACAATAACAGCAAAAGTTATACATTTTTACATCATTTGCAGACTGAAAGTGATGTAAAAATGTACAACAATAAAATGGAAAAACAAGATATTTGGCAAGAAAGATGGAGGAATTGCATGAAAGTTAAAGCACCAGAGAGCGCTTCCATCACCGACCAACATGATAGCCCCTTTCCATTACGATTCAAACATGCTTTCTTGCCGCGCAGTACTATTATAACCTATTGACCTATAATTTTTCGTTTGACTAAAGCCCTGGTCACACCATGCGATTTCCAGCCGTGCAGGCGACTGCAACCGCGACGGCTGTTCCCGTTAACTAGTAATCTCCCCTCGAAAACCGGCGCCACTGCAACCGCAACTAGAAACAAAAAGTTTGTTCTACTCGCGACGGTTGCAAACGCGTATCCAATCAACAAACGCCTTTGTGCCACCTCATACAGTGACAACATTGAAAATAGTTCATCATCATGAGGATAGTTAGAGCATTAATACTTTTACAGAATCGAGATTGGTCGAGCTTATTCACACTCACGAATACCTGTGGGATTTTAATTCTTCGTTTTATCGAAGATTTTATCTTTTTGTGTATTCTCGCCAGCTCTATCAAAATAATCGCCTTTTTTCTTTTATTCGTTCCAGAAAAGGAACTGCTTGCTATTTTAATAAGAAAAGTGGCTAAAATTCCTTCTCTGAAATAGAACGTAAAATGTCGGCAAACTCACGAAAGTAGTCAAAAACAAGCTACCGTAATTTTATTTGTTTATTATAGGGTCACGTGTTTCCGAGTTGCAATGTCAATGAACAATATATGATCACGAGAAGACTCTTGTTGCAGTTGCAGTTGCAGTTGCCTGCGTAGCTAGAAATCACATAGTATGACCCGGGCTTAAATGAGCCAGGGTGGAGCAAACGCCCCACCCTGCCCTACCGTGGCTACGCCGTGTCTGGAATATAGTTGTGTCTCCGAAAGTGAACCGGGATCATATTCATAAATAAATTTTGTTTTTCTTTTTTCCTCTTGGAAAAAAAAAGAGAAAGAGGAAACTTTTTTAAATTTGTAAAACCGGTAAGAGAAGAAAGATAAAAATTTATGTCCATAAAAGGCAGTGGCATAGCGTGGGTGTCAGCCGCCCGGGATGGAGGAAAATTTTGCCGCTTCCTTATTTAGGTATCGTAATTTAAAAGACCAAAATTCAGTTTCGTCACAGAATAAGTAATGAAAAATTCCGTGCTCATTTCAATTGGTCCGAATCGTAGGTTTGACAAAAATATGAAATAAAATGGTTCAAATTTCTACAAGATATTATTATTATTTATTGTGAAATTTTTCCGCCCCTTAAAAGTGCCGCCCGGGCCCCTGCCGCTCCCACTACGCTACGCCACTGATAAAAGGGCATGTTTAAAAGTAATTCTTAGAAAAGTGAACTTCTCGAATTAAAATAATAGAATAATGTAAGTTACAAGATCCACCATCTTCGATTGGAATCGAATGGAGACATGACATTGACTCATCCTGCGATCTGGGTTCCGATCTCGTTACACCAGGTAACGAGTGAAGACTAATTAGAAAGCGGAGGTAAGGAGGTTCGACCAATCAAAATGATTCATTTGGGACCCAAAACGTTTATAAAAGTTACCAATTCAAGGACTCGGAGAGCTTCTGCACAGAATTTTCATACTGTGTGGCATCCTCCGTAGTAAAAATATTGTCCGTTTCTCCGACGTTTAAACGACACATATCTGTAGACACAAACTACTGTATTACATGACTGCGCCTCGGGGCCGTCCAGTTATCCAACTGACCAACTGTCCAACAGTCCATTACATCGTGGCCGGATGTCCGAGCGGTCAAGGTGGCAGCCTACCGCTCTGGGGACCCGGGCTCGAATCCGAACGGGTCGAAAAATCCCCAGGAGCTTTTCGGGGGTGGTCCGTTCGGATATGTCGGGCTCCGTCCCTCACAACCTGGCAACCACATTGTGGGCCTGGCCGAACCCATAATGGGCTTGCAAAAAGAGGCCCTCTTAGTGCCCACAGGGCGGAAAGAGTTTAAAAAAAAGGTCCATTACATCATCCCGTTCTCGGACAGAAGATACTGTTTTTGTAAGCATAATTTATACAATAAATCGGGAAAATTGTTTTGTAACTGGAGAAAGTTGTCAATGTTGTAAACACTCCCACATACACTTCGGAATTGCTCAGATATCTTGTCGTTACGCGCGGTTCGGCGATCTCACAGTTGTTTGAGAATATCATCACACCGGAAGCAAAAGATGTGACGTCTACTGGACAGTCTTGCATCAGCACATCGAATTTTGGCCAGGGATTACCCGTCCCTTCGCGAAATGTCCGGCCAAAGTAGCATATACACTGGTCATTTCAAGTGCCTGTACACTGCTTTTTGTCTGAATCCTAACTTCAGCACTCATAGTGAGCAAAAGTGGCTCTAGGCAGAAAATTCTGCTCTGCTCCCAAACCAGTTTATTTAATGGTCATGATAGTATCAATTCCACGCATATTTCTAAAACCCACTCGCTTGTTTCTGTTTATTTGTTTGTTAAGTTACGTAAACGCAACACTTGGGAGATATGCCTAGAGAAAATGCCTTCCGGGAGGTCTTTTTAAGGGTAACTGACCCCTATTTAGGAATTACAGACGTGGAGAAAACACGGAAAACTCCACGTGGCCAGCCCATCCTGGCGAGGCGCGAACCCATGATCGAACTCCCAGTATTCAGGGAACGGCGCCGCTTGGCCACTGGTGGGCCCTCCGCTCGTTTCCCTGCCGGCAGAGCTTAACAGTGCGTCCGGTTGTCAATAGATGGCAGTAGGTGTAATAGTAGCATTATATAATCATTGTTGGCGTTTATTTGTTTGCATAAAATATTTCATTAACAATTTTCTTTAACTTTATTTTTAACCTGTTCATTTTTAAAATAATATATTTTTAATCTTTAAATATGCAGTAAATTCTCACTTGTTTACTTTTTTGTTAAGAAATTACACCGAATTAAATTATATATGTATATATATATGTTACCGCTAAAGCTCGAAATCCGTTAATGTCTACATTACCTAGCTAATCTG